CATCACAATCAAAATAGTGGGGGTGGGGCGTGTGTCCTCCATCCAAGTGAGCAGCCAGAACGCACAGAGTTTTAAGAGCAACCCCCATCCTTACTTGTTGAAGGCAGGATTGGCAGGTTTTGTGAGGTCCAAAGTTCGCATAGCCTAGCCTAACAGGAGGTGCTGCTCTGCTTGCTGAGGTTCACAGCAGGGATGGTTCACGAGTACCGCTGCTCCACAGAGGACTGTTCATGCCAGCCTGGCAGACTGCTCAGGGGACTGAAACCTGCATGCTAGAGATGAAGCAGCTTGGGCACTTGTAGCAAGGGATAAAAACTATGCCTCATGCCAGCCCAGACCACAAAGACAGCTTGTATTCAGCAAGACTGCCTTGTCTTATTCATCCTCTGAAAGACTGAGGAACAAGAATACACCAAACCACACCTGCAGCGGCCACAGCAGAGTGGCATGCCATGGCTTGAGCAATGCTACAGAAGAGCCAGGGACTAATCCAAGCCAGCACACCTTAGCCAAGAACTAATGACTGCTAACAATCCACTTTCTCTAACAAAACTACCCACTCAAAAAACTCACAAATCACATGCTTAAAACATATCCAATGTGCTGACCACTCATATGTGTGCTGGTGCTTGTGTATGAGCAGAGGCAACTATGTATTTCAAAATATTTGTCCCTGTTACTATTTTCATTTTAGGTCTTTAGTCCTGGAAGACAGAGACTGTCTAACTCACTTATATTCTCCCATAATCTAATCACAGGACTCTGAGATAATGTGATTTACAGTGGGCAGATCCCTTTGTGTACAGAAAGGGGCTGAAGCATCAACAGAAGCCTATGACAGGAACTAAAAACTTAACTAGCTGGAAAGATGGCTCAGTGGTTAAGAGCAATAGCTGCTCCTTCTAGAGGATCCATGTTCCATTCCCAGCATGTACATGAAGGCTCACTCCAGTTCCAGGGGATCCAACAACCTCTTCCGGCCTCTGCAGGCATTGCACAAACCTGCATGCATACAAAACACTCACACACATAAAAATAAATGACTTTTTATAAACATAAAAGCTATAGTGAGCTCTCCGCTCTCATTTAGAGTAAGTTCAGCTGTAGCAGGCACAGTAAGACCTTGTTATCTTTTCTTCTCTCTCTTTTGTGGGAGGTAGGGTGGGACTGGATGTTGTGGGGTGACCATGTAGCCCTGGCTGGCCTGGAACTCACTACGTAGGCTTCCTTCTAAGTGCTAGAATTAAAGGTGTACACCACTACACAGGGCCAGTAGTAAGTAGCAAGATAAGATACTTCTGGTGCAGCTTAGAAAACTGAACACAACACTGTGGGTGGGGGTGCAGAATGGCAGCGTGCAGCTTGGTGAGAGGACTTGACTAGAACGAGTCAGGACTAAGGTTCCGTCTTCCCCCTGCAGGGTAGAAATGCTGGCACAGGGCAGGTGCCAAGCTTACAAACAGCAAGGCATCACCTGGGATGGTCAAATAACAATGAAGACTGACATTAACAATCAAGTATCGGCAACAACTCAAAGCTCACACTCCTTACTCAAATATGTGGGGTCATATCATAAATTACAGGGTAGGCATTTCCTGCCAACACAGAGGGGGGTCTTATTTTCTATGGCTAGTGATGCCCCAGGGGCCAGGTAGACCTCAGGAAGAACAGAAACATCAGTGTCAGCTGATACGGGTGCACGGCCAGGCCGTGCCAGCACAGCACAGAACTGACCAACACCCTCACCTGCTGGGTGTGGCCCTGGCATGGGCCCTGGCATCTTTTCCTCAGAGTTATGTGTCAGACCAAGAAGGAGAAACCATTTGCTTTATGGATTCTGGATACTGAATCACTCAGAAACTCCCTTAGAGCTGACGGCCACAGAAGAGGAGGCACTCTGAGAGCATATAGAATTACCAGGGCTGAGAAAGTTACTTTATATATAGCACCTTCATGCTGCAGAAAGAGAAATGGAGGAGCAGAATGGCAGATCCATGTCCCACTACAAGGTGACGCAGCCAGGACTCAGCTTACAACTTTTCAATTCCTAGCCCTCATTCCTTCCTCAAAGCCATTCATTCTGACACAAAACATTAACAGTATACTTTAATGCTTGAGAACTACACAAAGACCCTGTGAGCCTACTGATGAGAGAAGCAGTAATATCAAGCACTCACTTACCTCCCAATGCTGTCACTAAGGTGAAAGAAAGGCCCAAATGGCTCCTCCAAAAGCCAACATCTAATTCAAGCATAAAAACAGGGGAGGGAGATGGAGGGATGAGGGGTGTGTGTGTGTGTGTGTGTATCTGTGAAGATGTCTTCTATGGTTTTTTACCACCACCCCCTTTTTTGTGAGATAGTGTCTCTCAGTGAATCTAGAGCTCACCACTTTGATAGACTGGCAGCCAGTGAGCTCCTGGGCTCCTCCTACCTGCCCCCACCCCTAGTGACAGGGTTACAGACATATATCACTGAGCCTGGCTTGTCACATGATGCTGAAGATCTGAACTCAAGTCTGCTGCAGGACGTTTTCATGCACTGTATACTCAGATGCTGCTTTCTGTGCCCTGAGATCTAGCTGCAGTCCTGACATGGACATTGTCATTTCTATGAAGAATCTCCTGTATCAACATTGTGTAAATACTGCTCTCTGATAATCTCCGGTTGGTTAATAAAGAGGTTGATTTAGCCAATAACTGGTCAGAGAAAACAGGCAGGACTTCTGTTCCTAGTCTGGGGTTCTCAGGTGGACAGAGAGAGAAGAGGAAGAAGTGGCCATGAGAAGGCCCCACGAGGACTTCACCCTGAGGACAGAGAGTTACAGCAGAAGGCCAAGGGAAGACAGGGGTGGCAAGTAAAAGGGCATGTAGCTGATTGGGTTAGAATAGATGACTATCTGCCCAGTTAAAGAACTTAAAGCCTCTTGAATAAATCTAATAGGTTTCTGTGTCTAACAGTGGGAGCAAGGGTAGGTGTTATAAAGGACTCCACTAAAACATTAACTCCACTCAGGTGCTCAAGCTAACACTACCCACCAAGCCTTCTCTTTATCCAAAGCATAGCCACGCCCAATGGACTTTCTCCATTCTCATTTCAGTAAGGGCATTTACAGAGCAACTCAGTGATGACTGAGTTGCTAATACAAGCCACTTAAGGTGGGTAAAATCCACATCACCAAATAGGTCTCCTGCCAGCGCTGTGAGATTCAAAGTCTCCCGTGGTTTGCAGAAGCAAGATGGACGGACTCATAGAACCTTTTGTGGATGTGGAAGCTGAAGGAACTGTCTGAACTCAGTAAAAGATTAGCCATTCAGAGTTTATTTTGGGTTTCTTAATTGGCTTGTTCCATTTCTTTGAAGAAAAGAATGTCTTGAATTTGTCCCTCAGTTTATAAAAAGAAAAATGCTTTAATTCCAAACAGACCTTGAGTGCCTGACCTGGCTGGCAGTCTGTGGCTGTCCTCCCATCTGGCCATCCTGAGCTTTAGCAACAAAAAAGTCAAGTTCCTGAATGTCCCTCACTACTAATAAAGGAATATACAGGCTGGAGATGGCTCAGTAGCTAAGAACACATCCAGAGGACCTAAATTCTATTCCCTGCACCCATGCCAGGTGGCTCATAACTATCTGTAACTCCAGCTCCAGGTGATCTAATGCCTCTAGCCTCCACATGCACATGTCCTGATGAGGATATATACACACATACACACACCTACACATAATTTAAAATAATAAAAACAGGGCTGGAGGATAGCTCAGTGGTTAAGAGCACTGGCTACTCTTCCAGAGGTCATGTGTTCAATTCCCAGAAACCACATGGTGGCTTACAACCATCTATAATGAGATCTAATGCCCTCTTCTGGCATGTAGGCATACATGCAGGCAGAACATTATATACATAATAAATAATTCTTCTTTTTTTTTAATGGTAAAAACAAATCCTCGAAGGAAGATACTAAACTGATGTGTGGGTTAAACACAAATGACATTCAGTTCAAACCCGCACTCCAAAATCAGGTTAAGTAACAATGGCATGGCATTAGTCTTCAGAAACCAAAGTAAGTAGAAAGAGCTCTAATTAATGGCAAGATTCATGTTGACCAATTGGAAGGTGATTGGAATGAGAGTCTGCTTTGTTCCCTGAGCACCCATCTCCCTAACTCTTTCCAGAGCTGGTTCGGTTGTGCAATAATCAGTCCAGCCACGAAAGTCAAACACAGACGTTGAAACAGAACAAGCTAGTCATGAACACCTGAGAGGGAACCACAGGAAGTGGAAGCTTCCCCAAAGGGGAACTCCACCTGATACGGAACAGTGCCCAGACAGAAAGCTGACTTTACGGTGGGTAATTTCAAAGCCCACAATCCACAGCAAGACATTCTGCAAAGTAACCTGTTGCCTCTCACAGCATGGGAACTCAACACGTGCATCTCTCATGATATGAGGGTACCACACCTTAGCCCTGGGATTCAGGCCTCACCAGACCCCTTTTCCTCCTACAGCTGAGGAGAGCAGGTGCACACCAGCTCAATCTTGTGCCCAAATGGGACAGGGTTCAGTGAGAGGCAAAGGTAGGAAAGGACTAGATGGCACACTGAATGTGAAGTGCGCCACAGCCACTCAGCAGGGTCTTTCGTTTCCATCCTATGCTGTAACTTATTACCCAGAGTTGGGATAAGTTCTGAATCTTGTGTTCTATATGTGTAGACTCCTGCAACACCCTCTGGCAAGAGGGATGGAACCAGGATCAAATGCATACTAAGCAATGAGATATAACCATCTACCACTGAGCTAAAACCATCCCTTGGGACAGTTGCTTGAGCGCATGTTCCATTTACAACTCAAAACCCAAAAGGTCAGGGGCTGAAGAGATGGCTCAGTCCGTTAGAGCACTTGCTGGCCCCTGAGGACCTGAGTTCAGTTCCCAGCACACATAGGAGGTGACTCAGAGCCCAACATCCCATATCTCCAGCTCCAACTCACTCACTCACTCACTCACCTTGTGCAGAGGGAGCACCAGGAAGGCTCCTCCCCCACTTGCTTCTATAATGATGGCCACAAATCTAGGGTTGACAGCACAAAAGGAACTGTCCCAGGTCACTCGGGAGACTCGGATGTCATCATAGCACTGGTCATTTTTCACTGCCTGGCCAAAGACATGCCGGAACTTGCTCTGTCGCACCACTCGCCGCATTGTGTCTGTGAAAAGAAAGCAGGGAAAGGAGTGTGAGAACTATGTGCAGCCAAAGCTGCACTTCTGCAAAAGGCAAGCTGGAAGAACAGAACACCTCGGCATTCTGTCTGCTCTCTTAGAAAGTAGCCAGACTGCGAATCCCAGATCCCTCTACAGTACAAACAGGGAGAGCACTGCAAAATGTGTCGGAAAAACTTACAACATCCAGAGGCAGTCCATGTGTTTAAATTTCAAGAGAAAGACAGGGACAGGAAAATCAGCCTTTCGGGGTGGGTGGGAAAACTCACTCTGCCCTTCCAATTTTGGAGACAGGAAAATACCAAAGTGAAGGTACCTTGTTGGTGTGAAGCCAAAGGAAGCCCCAAACAAGATATGATTTGGTGGCTTTCTCCTTAGCCGGCCAGGGTCATTTCCCAGTTCTTAAACACCCTCCCTCCCTCTCCCTGACATCTGCATTCCTCTGTCTGAGCGCTGTGCTGGCTCCCCAGAGTGACTCCAAATGACCAACTATGCAGATTTAAGAGACAGAGGCAGCTGCCCTGCCTGCAAGTGCTGCCACTACCCTCCTGAAACAGGCATGCCCTTCAGAGCAACCCAGTGAGGAATGGGAAATCTGCCCTGAGGTTACCACAGAAGCCAAGAGTCAGGTCTTAGAAAAAGGAGCCGTAATTAAATGGGAAGTGGCTGATCAAGGCCACCTTATGATGACAAAACATTAAGTCTGGAAGTCCCATTCTGCAATGAAAGTGAAGAGCCATCCATATACTGGGCTACAAGCCATGGCAATCAAAGCCTGAACGGCATGGTGGTGGCAGCTGGACAGAAGGAAGGATCAGCCCACTATAGTGGACAAAGGAGACTAGGACTAGGGCTCATGTCAGATCATTCAACCTCTTGAACAGTAAGCTGGGCATGAGGAATGTGGTGACAGCTAGCTGAGGTCCTAGGACTCCTCTGGGTTGCCAGATGGACATGAACACGAACGGAGGCTTTGTGCTTCAGGCTCCGCCCCACACACCTCAGGTTTCTAGCCAGCACTTGATGTCATTTTCCCATCTGCTTCTGTACAGCGATCTGCTCAAGACAAATGGAACTCAGATAAAACTAAGTGGAACCGGCGTGAGGCCAAACCCTGACAAATTCACTGAAAAACAAATTACTGTGAACAGAAGAGGCCAACACCTGTCCATTTGTGCCAAGTGGGACATGTGGTGGGCAATGCTATATCTTGTCCTCTCAGTCCCTCCCTCATGGCCCTGGCCCACTGCTAGATGCAGAGAAAGCACCAGCTTATGCCAGAGCTCCCTTCTGTCTTCGCACGGCTTGTGTAGAACTGTCCTTGCAGCACTGCTGGAGGCAGAAGCCCGGTGGCAGGCCCCTACGCCTTGCGCTCTGTAGTCCAGCTGCTGCCTGACCTTCCCTGCTGACTCCTGGGACTGTACACTGGAGTGCTTGGTAGGAGATGCTAAGGGCTTACACCTGGCCAACAGCTTTCACTGTGAAATAGTTCCTTGGTTGTGAGTCAGAAACAGCTTCCACTATAGACTAAAGGAACACACCTCCACACTAGGCACTCTCAGAAGCCACCATCCCTCACCCATCGGATCTACAAGTCAAAAAGCTGGAGTCCCCACCAGCATACCCCAGCTAGGGTTTCAGAAGTTAAGGGGCCGAGAGATGGCTCAGTGGTTAGTGTTTATTACTCCCTCAGAGGCCCCACATTCGGTTCCTACACAGATCCAGCTCCTCACAACTGCCTACAGCTCTGGCTCCAAGGGATCCAGCACCCTGTTCTGTCCTCCATAGACATGTACACTCACATCCACATAACCACATATACATACAAGTAAAACTAAAGCTTAAAAAAATAAAGTTAGCCAGAGGTGGGGCACATGTCTTTAATCCCAGCACCTTGAAGGCAGAGGCAAGGTGGAGCTCAGCCTGGTCTACAGAGTAGGTAGCCAGAGCTACACAGAGAAACCTTGTCTCAAAACAACAACAAAACAAAAAACAAGTTAACACAACAGAAAAAAAAAAGAGACTATACTAGATCATATTCTTCATGCAGTAAAATATTTTACAAATTGATAAAACTAAAACTCAATAGAAAAGTAGACAAAAAACAAACTCAAACACACACACACACACACAGGTATACACCCCAATGGATGAGGACAGCAAGGGAGCGCACCAGAAAGCAAATGTGATAACAAAGCTCAGGAGAAAGGTCAAATTACTGAGTGACTGCTGCGGGCACACCCTCACTCAGCTGAGCATCTTGGAAGGAGCTCACAAGCATGGAGGCACACTGTGAAACCCTAGCAGAAGTAGAACACAAAGCACACACAAACACACACACACACACACATACACACACACACTCATTTTTAGAAAGCAGAAAAGTAGAAACAATCAAGATAGCATGAGAGTTGACAAGACAGACATATATCAATTCAACAGAATTCAAAGTCCAGAGACAGAGAGGGCTCAGAGCAAAAGGGCACTTGTGTAATCCCCACGTCTCTCCTTCCCATGTGAAGATAGAAGGAGAGAACCAACACCACAGTTCTGTCCTTCCTCTGATCTCTCCACATGTGCCCACACATACACAGTGTAACACACACACACAACAATAATGTGATCACATTTACAAAAAAGAATTCCCAAGGTAAACCCACACTTTCTCTAGCCAACTGATTTTCAGCACAGGAAGTAAAACCACTCATGGGAGAAGGAGTGTCAACAAACGATGCTGAGACAGCTGGACAACCCTGAAAGCAAGCAAACAAAAAGACGACGATGATGATGATCAAATGGGTCAAGAGTCCAGACACAACAGCTGAAACTATAAAGCTCCCAGAAGAGAACAAAGCAGCACATCTTCCTGGCCCTGGGTGGCAAAAGCAGCTTAAGTGTGAGAGACAGTAGAAGCAACAAGAGAGTGAACTGACACCTTCAAGGCCTGTGTGAGGGCTCAGCAAGATGCAGACTTCTCCCAATTGGCCTTTGACTACCACACATGCACCATGACACATATATCATATCAAACACACACTAATAAATAATAATATACAGACATTTGTTGCAAACCTTAAATCTGACAAGGCACTCATTCATACTTAAAATATACAAAGAACTTACTAAAAAGGGATCAGGGTGGAGAAGACAACTTAAAATCCTACTTAAAAATGACCTTGCCAGGCATGGTGGCACACACCAGGCATCAGAAGGTGGAGGCAGGAAGATGAACCTCAGCTACAAGAGATCTTGCTTTTGCCTCGTGTAGGTAAGACCTTGGGTGTATAACCCAGAGAGGCCATGGAACTGTCCAATGCACAACCAAACTAAACCCTCAATGAATGGCTCTTTTACCCCGGAGTGTGAAAGAAAACCCACCAGTCAGAGAAGCACTGATGGAAGTGTGGGCTTCTCAGGACCTCAACGGTGTCAGGTGGGTTGGGCTTTGGATGGACCTTACACTTCCTTACATTCTAAAAGAATTACCTCCTGACCCAGCCCTTGAGGGAACTGAAACAAGGAGTAAAAATCCCTGAAGCCAAGGGAGACACACACCCGAGTGCTGCTAGTTACTGGACAAATGGATAAAATGCTATCACCCACAGAAGTGCGATGGTCAGCAATGAACACTCAGACAGTCCACAGCTTGGAGACCTATATAGCCCTAACTCCATTGGTATGATACATGGACTAGGCGAATGCAAACAGCAGTTTGGAGGCTGTATGGAGTAAAACCTGAAGACAAAGGGCAGGAGGCTGATTCTTAACATGTGCCGAGGTGTTATGGCAAACGCCTTTAATTCCAGCTCTGGGGAGGCAGAGGCAGGTGAAATCTCTGAGCCAAGCCTTATCTACTATCAAATTCTAGGACAGTCAAGACCACATAGTAAGATCATGTCTCAAGATACAAAACAAACTGGGCAGTGGTAGTGGCAGCAATGGACCACAACTTTAATCTCAGCACTCTGGAGGCAGAGACAGATGGATCTCTGAGTTTGGGGCCAAACTGGTCTATAGTGCTAATTCCATGACTAGCACTATCCAGGACTATACAGAGAAATCCTGTCTTAAAAAACAAACAACAATAACAAAAAAGATGTATGTTTGTATGCGTGCATGCACGCACACACATGCGCAGAAAGGCCAAAAGAGGACATTAGATCTCCTGGAACTGGAGTTACAGGTGGTTGTGGACCTCCATGTGGGAGCTGGGAACAGAACTAGGGTCCTCTGCAAGAGCAGCCAGTGAGCTTAACTGCTGAGCTGTCTCTCCAGCCCCATAGGCTTCTTTTAGGGGTCATGAAAATGTTCCCAAGTCACTGTGGTAATGATTGCGTGTGCCTTTCAAGTGGCTTTGGTTCTGGTTTGGCTTTTTTGTACCTTACACTTTAGTGAATGCATGTGTGAGTATCTCTATAACAATGTGTTTGTTTTTAATCTGTACAGTGTCCAGCATATACTCTGTAGTCCACCCTGTTTTTTAAACAAAGCAACAGTTACTTAAGTTCCCCTACCCAAAGGGAAAAATCTCAATCACTGCCTTACTGATTAGGTGGAGAGTACGATCTTCACACAAAAGTAACCAAAACCTCTGCAAAACTTTGTGCTCTCCCACCTCAGCAGCATTACTACCTTTTTCAAATAGAGAAAAATGTGGGAACTATTCCAAAAAGTAGAACTCCTCTCTAAGAGCCACCAGTATTGACAAATGGCATTCAAAAGTCAATTTTAAAAATGTCTTATCAAATTTGGATATTTTTTAAATTATCTTGCCTAAAGCGATCAAACAATAAATTAGAAAACTAAAATGTTTTGTAAGGGAAACCAACTCTCAACTGAATGACAAAGAATCAATGAAGGTACAATCCTAAGTGCCCTTCCAGGGACACCTGCTCACGAGGTCTGTCAAGAATGAGGTCTTCCACCTGAATACCCCCTTTCGTTTGCAAATGTTGAGAACATCTCAACAGTAAAAGGGTAGTGAGCC